AATGCCTCTTTTTTGTGGTGTTCAAACTAATTTGTGGTTACAAGCAATTGTCGGGTTCGCGGCCCCTTTTCTATTTTTCGAGGCTCCGACATAAAATGCGCCATCATGCCCTTTTGTTGTTGTAGTTATTGTTAGTGTTGTTGTTATTATTGTTGTTGTGGGTGCTCGATTGAATATATGCGCGCTACAGTTTCGAAGCGATGCGATGCCACAACTTGCAATTATTGTCGAACAAACCAAAGATGGTTAAAAGTCATAAGCGGCCTTTGCGGTTCATTGCAAAATGGCGCAGCTAATTTGCAAATTAATATTTTGGGCATCCACGTACTGCCTAGTAGCCTTTCCATTTTACAAACACACACAGCCTGAAGCCCTGCATTGTGCGAATTAAAGGGGTATATGAATACCCTTTGCTTACGAATATTTCAAATGAATGCATGCAAAAAACTGAATAAATTCTGTAACAAAGTTTATTAATTGATTCAGTGTGAATGCATGAACAATATGAAATGATTTGTAAGGTGGGATGTCTTTGAAAAATAAGACACTGGTATTTTATTCTTTTATTCATGACTGAGACTGACTGGGTTCACCATTTACCGTCCAAAAAATCGTACTTAACGTATGCATTCCAAAAAAGGGACTTATATAGATATAGGCATTTTTTTAATAAAAGAAATACAATGCTTAGACCTTTTATGAAACTAACAAAAGAAAATTTGCTATGGTTTGCTAGGTTTTGTACAGATTTGAAACAATTTGAATGAAATTGTTATTTGTGTAAGGTATAGTAAGACTCTTTTGACTACCCCTTCAGTTGAATTGAAAACCAATGAATTCACAAATGAAACAAATAGTATATCAAATTGATCGTTGAAATGCGTTTCTAACGTCTACTCATGCAAAGCTCTAATATGCCAAACACACACAAGGGCGCGCAAAAGACGCGCGTGATGTATCAAAAATTCATGTGGCAACTAAATCAGAATTCGCCAGGCAGCCAAAGACAATCGAACACTCGGCATAGGCAAATATACTGAAGTGCACTTAAAGCAGCACTTCAGATTAAGCGTGGCAGTTAAACAAAACAGTTCATAAAAGCCTTACCATTATACGACGTATTGATATCGATCGAAGCAACTACGAGTAAGTGGCGCCAAAGTGTACCCCAAATTTTGCCTTTCCTTCCGTGAACTTTTACAAAAAATTTGATAAAAATGGAAAAAATATTTGTTTTAAAAAACTCATACCATTAAGAAAGTGTAGCGAAATATGCAAATTTGAGATTAAAGAGCGTAAATTGCAAACATCGGGCCATGCTCCAGTGGCACATTGTTCGGTTTGCCAACTTTCATGCAATTGGATTTCAGAGCAACGGTCGTTCCGTTCGTTTCCATGAACTTCACTTGCATACTACAACTATATATGTATATGTACATGTACTATGTATGTACGTACATAAGCCTTGCGGCTTTCTAAGTGTGTATTTCTGCCTTTCGACTTGGCCTTTTTCCGCACTTTTGGAGTGCATGCAATTGTCATTGTCATTGCTCGTCGTTGTTGTTTTAGTGGCTGGAGATTTATTTTTACTTTTTGCCTATTTGGTTAACATTATGTAAATTTACATATAAAACTGGTTCGGTGCGTCTAGATTTGTAGCTTTTTGGTACAACTGAGAGCCGGGGGGTTGTACGATTTCGATCGCAATGCATGGATTTTTGTAACCTGATTTTTGTTGTTTTGTCCTACAAGTAGATGCATTTTAATTGGAACATAACAAAGTGATTAAAATAGGGATTATTGTACATAGTTCGTATGACTAATGAAAGATAATGTCAGGATCCTTCCTAGTATCCTTCAAATAATCAAAACTAATAGGGAATTACATACAAATGCACTACGTGTGAAAACTTTAGAAGTTTAGTTTGAACATGCAACCTGTTGTGATTACGGCAGTCCGCATACAAAGATTGCTAAATGTGTAAATTTAAATTTAAGGAAACATTCGTATACATATTTTAGGTTATCCCAGGGCCCAACCGCTTTTTGCTGCCAAAAAGAAGGCAGTGAAAACAGAAGGCGCCAAAAACAGAGGGAGGGGTAAAGAGAGAGTGGGGAAAGGGAGAGTGTGAAAGATCAGACAATTACTTACCATTGAGAACGTAATTTCTTACTTCACAAGTACGCATGTACAATTGTATTTATTATTTTTGCACTACACGTATGTATGTATGTATAACATATTAAGAAAAAAAAAAACAAAACATACATATGTATGTAAATATTTCACCACGCCACATTTAGCCGACTACGCGATGATGTTTTATGAATGTACACACATAAATTATGTAGGATATAGGACATGGAAGCTCGCAATGCATTTCGCAATTATTAAACATTGCACTTAACGCGATTTCAATAATTATAAATTAATTACACGTCGTTACCGCGATTATTGCCACTTTTTATTAGCACTTATAATTGCAATTGGCCGCCGCTTCAAAATGTCTTCCTCCTTTAATTAATCGCTGAGCATCGATACTTTTAGTGAAGGCAAATGCACCTAATGGCGCTGCCAACCTGTGTTAATGAAATTATTTAAATAAGCGTTTTCATCAGTGTATTTTACCCGACATTGGCTGTTTGTGCTTTGACACACTACAAAGGCCGACAGCCCCCGCATCCATAGCCACAACCGCAACCACAATAGCAACAACAGCAATGATCATTTAGTAAGGTTAGCAGCATATGCACGACTTAGTTACACAGGCTCATACGATATCATTGGGTAACGGTTTAGTAGAAGAGAAAAAAACACCCGCATAACTGTGCAACTATTGCGAGGTTGCCACAGACAGTGGCACAAGGCAGTTTATTATGTAAAGAAAGCAAAACAAACTGCAAACAAGAAATCTTTCAGCAAATCAATAGAAAAAAATGTTTTCATTTCGAATGGAATTGATGCGGAGGTCTGTCCAAGAGGTGGACCGAATGTAACGCCTGCCACTGCATTTGTTACTGTTACTGCCGTCGGCTGCAGACCAAGACGCACTGCATGAGCACGTCGAGCTGTTTAACTGGACCCAGTAACATATTTCAGCGTACAGCTAGAGCTGTATGAATAAACATGTGCCAAGTCTTAATGGTGCGAGTTTTCAATATTGGCCGACGAAGTGAAAAATCCGAGTGATGTTTTTTAGTTGGCAATTAGTATGTCAACTGGGGACAGACAGTAAGTCAGTCACTCACCCAGCTAATCAGCTGTATTTTCTACCAGAGTCTGTGCAATATTTAACAGAACCTGAGTTTGAAAATGATGCTCCTTTAAATATGAATGAGATAGTTGCATATTTCTAAAACATTAATCAGTTGATTTGCACCTGTAATTAACAACAATGTCCGTTTACTGGCGGCCATTTCTCATGCGCGCCAACAAGTCCAACAAGTTTGATTGGCCGAGTTGTGTGCTCACATGAGACTGTTTTAGCCAGCGGGAATTTTGGGCCATTGTGAGCTTATTGTGTAATGGGAAATGGGTTCGAAGAAGTAAGACAAGCATTTCAGCTGCCTCGGGCTCATGCGTAATGTTTCGATGCGCCAATTGAAAAGCCAACTAAGTTGGGTGCTTAATTAAACAATTTCTCTATTATGGCCAACTCTCTGGCTTGTTGCCTTTCACAAAATTACAACTCCGTACAGCTGTGGCTAATCAAAAGGGCATTGATTTTTATGAACGGTCAAAACGGGCAACGGGCGAGCCAACATCTCCTCTTCAAAGTCTAACGCGAATTGTTTGCCGTCCGACGGCCGTTGCTTGTACAAATCTTTGTATTTCCCTAAAACGTGCGCAGCAATATGAGCGAGCGGCACGATGTAGACGAAGGAAAGAAAGTTGCTACAACAACGACAACAACAAAAAAGGGTCAACTGCACTGAACCCACAAGTGGCAAATCACGTTAGGGCCCAGACGGGCCATAATAATGTGCATATTGCGCTTTTTTATCGCTGTGGAGCTCGCCTTTTTTTCGTTTTCAAACAATAAATTGCATTGCTTTGATTGCATTTTGCATTCATTTTGTCTAGTACTTGCCCCTGTCTTGCTTTTGGCTGTGCCTGTGTCCGCGTTACCTTTAACGAAGTGTGAAAGATGTCGATGTCGACTTGGCGACTTGGCGACGGTGATTCAATTTGATTACGCCACTTTGGCAGCTCTTTGCATGGCATGCCACACGCTGCAAGGTTTCCATTTCGAACTCAAAGCTCGGCTCAGCCGAGGTGTTGATCACCGTGAAGATGTAGTTAACAACGTGACTATGTAATCACCGACTAAGGCTAGGAAGTTGCTGCCGACACTGCTGCTGTTTTTCACACAACTACAGTCAAGACTTTAAATAAATAATCATTTCACAAAAAACATCTAAGAACATATTTACAGAATATTCGAGTGAGACAAATATTGATTTAAATATCGCCAATTGTTGCAAAAGAAATGTTTTCATATGGAAATATTATGTGGAGAAAAAGGCATCATAAATCCAATTTGAAAGAGCTTTTAATGAAACTACATATTACTTTCAGTCAATAAATACATATGTATACAAAAATTGAATCTCAAAGTAGATGATATGCAAAATATCTAGATTGATGTGTATTAATAATGGAAGAGCAGCTAATTCCATGTTCCTAATTTTTAAACAAAACACGAAACGACCTTTTTGTTTACTTGTGTTTAAGATTTGATATTTCTGGATAGCTATTCCCAATTATTTACTTCGAAGAAAATTTGTTCCAATTGTTTTAGCAATTGTTAGGAGTTTTCAGACTTTTGTTGTTCAATGTTTACCATCAGCAATAACATTAACATTAGTGTTTACTCGACGTCGTTTGAATTACTCAGCTTCCACTGTAGTTGTAGTAATAAAATGATTTTTTGCCTCGTCCGCTATATTTCTAATCAAATTAATTTCAGCAACCGCGCATGTGCACGTGTAAGTTTAAAATGAGAGGTGGCGGCGGCAAGTTGGCTTTGTATCTGGCACTAGTGCTAGTGAGCTACATTGCGCATACGCAGTGTATGGCAGAGTATATTGAATTCTATAACGACTTTGCGCACAATCACGATGAGGCACGGGTGAGCAAATGCATTTTAATTTAATTTTAATTTGATTTATAATGCTGTGTTCCTTCCCCTCAAGATCAAGTACACTCACCAGTATTTCATTTCGGATTCGGCCAGTCGTGTACACATTCTACATCGTGAACAGCGTCATGGCGATCATGTCTCGGGAGTATATAGCCATGTCGAGCCAAATGGCCAGGTGCGCAGCGTGCACTACGAGGTGAGAGGACTGCAAGGATATCGGGCCATAATTGTGCAACGCACCCCACACAGTCGCGTACATCAGGTACTGGAATTTGAACGAAAACAACCGATTCGAGCCCTACCCTTCGCTCAACCGGTGGCTTTTGTTATTTAGCGGACATACATATGTTCAATGCAATGCGACATAAAATCTCAATTGACGTTGTATTTACGTTTATCTTACACATCCGATCAATTTATTATTGCATTTCAATTAATACAATTTAAGTATTTAGCAAAATACGTCTGATGTTGCTCCCAAAAATCACATTACTGTGTGGGCATGTATTTTTATGAGCACGACAAAATGTTGAAATATCATTAAAAGTTATTTACAACAACGCTTGCGCACAATTTAATTTATTAATGAAAAAGTCAATTAAATGTTTCACAACTCGAATACAAGAAGCATTACAAACTGTGTCCGGATTATTGAACAGACTAGAATCACAACGCAAAAATGCCAAGTGATGTCTCATCTTTAAGCAATAATACTGAAATCATGCTTTTATTGCACCGTTAAAGGTTTTATTTCCTGGTGCGCAACGTTTTTATGGTATTTAAAAATTTGCAAACATTGGACAGTTGTCGTATTTCTTTAATTAATTTTATTAAAACAAATAAAGATGTCTGTCTCTGTATTATTATATTATTATTGATTATTATTTTGGTATTATATAATTTTTTAAAATCTTGTGCTGGTAAGTTTTATGAAAAAAAAATTTTTTTTCAGTATAAATCAATTTTAATGTTATCATAATAATTTGTTCTTTGAATGACAAATAGTTGAGTTAAAAAGAATAACTTTCTGCAATCAGCGAATTACAAATTAAAAATTAAAGGTCACAGCATGTGTAGATACACTGCCAAGTAACTAAAATTGCTTTATACTTGTTAATTAGCAAGCACCATATTTTTTATCAACATAATTTGTCAAGAATTTCGTTAACAATATTCTACTTTTCTTTTTATAATTGGTACTCCTTCGTCCTTGGTTGTCATTTACAGTAATTGTTGTTATTAAATTCATAGTTAGCATTCGGGCCAGAAAAAGCACAATTAAAATGTTAAAGTTAATATTGAAAGTAAGGTTGCCAAAAGATATGCAAAATTGTGCCATTTCCTAAAATGGAAGACTGCATGTTTTTAAGAACTAGGACGCTGAATGAAAATCAAGAAATTCTTAATGCAAAGTTGTTATATATACCTAAAGGCTTTTCTAAAACTAATGCATTCTACTAGAGTCAAGAAACTCTTCATTGAATACCGATAATATCCATACTGTTGTTGTGCTGAATTCAAATTTCCGGTTTATATCTCCAGTTCAGCATGTTATTTGCATAATTTATCGAAAACCAAAAAAAATTGGACAATTAACTAAAGAATTAATTGAGTAATTTGTACTACAACAAATTTTGTGGTTTCTGACCATTTATAATGTTTATCTTAATTATTATAAATGAGTGCAGGCAAACGTCCACTTCCATTTGCCATTTGCCGTTCGCATCGTTTTGTTGCTGGTATTGTAAGTGTTTTCATTTGGGATATGCGTGAAGCGCGCACAATTAAGCCCAAGTCGGAGAGCAAACCCAAGCCGACTCGTCCGAGGTACACATTTAGTCACAGTTATACAAAACCCGTAATCGGAGACGCTGCGACTTAAGGCAACAACGTTAAGTGTCAATAATCAGCATCGGTTAATGACTTCGGTGTGTGTAAATATAATTCAGAGAAGTCAGACTGATTTTAAGTGCTGCTACTGCTGTTGTTATTGTTGTTAATGCTGTTAATGATGCTGCTAATATTGCCGGCTGGATCGGTCAGTTGTGGCGCCTAGGCTGGGGTCATGGCTGTTGCAAAATAGACGCTGCGCTTTGTGATTAGCAGCCGTCATTTAAATGATGGTCAAGAAGCCGCCGCAATTGAGTTAATTATTCCAACCGCAGGCTATAAAAAGTGGCTTGGCAGCTCGAGCTTACCGTTTGCGGTCAAGAAAGTGGCCAACAATCAGCCAAGTTGCCGTTACTTTGTGCCACAAGACAATTTACCTTGCATTTGCCGCTGGTGGCAATTAATAGCCATTAATTGTAGAGGCGAATTAATTAGTTGTTTGAAATTGCCAAAATTAAATCTTAAATTAAGTAAAACAGTTGGCAAAATGGAAACATTTCAAAATTCAAACACTTTGAAAACTTCTGTTTGCTCTGCTTGGATAAATATATTAAAATCTATTACTTACTTGGGATCTGCCCTATATTCACGCGAAATATTTAGTTGTCAATGTTTTGAAAGTCTCTATAGAATTAATTTTAAATGTCGGGCATGTTGGTCGAACAGCTACTATGCGTTAACAATTACTATAGTTAGCCCAATATTATGCAAAATATGTTATTACAGCTTAAGTTCAGATGCATTCATAAATCGATAATTACTGCGCATAGACTGTTAGATTTTATACTAATGGCTATGAATGATATTCCGGTAATAATCAAGATTTGTCAGAGATTATGCCGCATAGCTAAGTTAAGATTAAATTATTCAATCACATTACATTTTTCTGACGGTCTGCTCGGTTTAGTCTGAAAAATTAAACAAAAACATTTAATAATCTCTGTTCTCATCTGACTTTGTTGCTTATTGGCTGTGCGTGTATGTTAGCGTGCACGCTCGTTGCCTGAGTCTTTCGTTTTGTCTTTTGAATTGAATAACAAAATGCTGAATGTGTTATTGAATTTTATATTGAGTTAAGCATATTTTATTATTTACAAATTTGAGAGTCTTATAACAAAATATAATTTCGCTTCAAAATTTTTGTCGACTTGTTGCTGCGCGGCAAGTTCAAAGTGGCATGCCAAAGTTGCTGTACACGTATTTGTTTAAGTGTTTTTGCTTTTTGTTTGTATGTGGTAATAGTAGAAGTAGTGGCTGCTTCGCTGCGATGCCTACTGGGCGTTCAGCTTGTCTTTGTGCCTTGCAGCGTGTTGTGCGCCTTCAGTTCCGCATGCGCCTTCGCCTGAGCCTGCTGCTGCTGCTTCTTCTTCAGCGGGGATGGCTTCACGTAGCTGGTCTTCTCATGTGCCAGCTTGAAATTGCCAATTAGACGCTTGCTGCTTGTTGTGGGCAGCCTCGTTGTAGACGTTGTTGTGGCCTTTGTTGTAGATATCGTCGTGCTTTTTTTGCTGACGATGGGTGCTGCCGTGCTTGAAGTGGAGCTGGAAGGCAGCGTCTGCCACTCTACTGGCTTGGACTTTAAAGGCAACAGCTGTTGGCTGCCAGCCAGCAGCTGTGCAGCATCGTGTTCGGGCACGTACTGCGAGTCTGGATCGAAGAGGCGATACTGCAAGTAGATGATGCATGTGATTATGACATGGGCATGAGCATGAGGCAGTGTCGTGTGTGTTTATGTGTTTATGTGTGTATATGTGTGTGGCATGCAGTGTGTATATGTGTATGTACATATATGTGTATGTATGTTATATTTATATACAAATGTTTAATCAATTGCGGTTTAAGGCTTTCATATGTACTTTTTCGATTGAGCATGATTTAAATATTTACAAAAGACACGACGCTTTTAATATTTATTTCCACAATTTTATGTATATCGATCAGTTATTATAACTATTAAATATTTACAGCTGCCTAGTAGCGCACAAAGCGCTTGAGACTATCATATGACCTTACATAGTTCAGCGGTGTGTATTTGACCTTCTCGTATGCCTTGTACTTCTTCGTCTTGGCATTGTATTTGCCCTGCAGCTTGTCCGTGATGCCCGCATAGTATCCGGTGGGCGTGGCACTTGTCGCCTTTCCCACCACGGCTGTGTATTTCAGACCCACACCGGGCACGTACTGAGCAGAAAGTGCGCCGGTATTGTAACCCTGGGACTGAGCTTGTTGTGGCGCCAGGATCGTGCCGTAGTTCCGCTTCGGCTGTTGACTGTCTCTGTCATCGTAGGGGCCAATGGGTATGGGCCAGGTTCGCGGACGCGAAGGTGGTGGCAAGACATAGCTAAGAGGTGGAGTGCAAGAAAGTAAATTAAGTTAATTCGAAAATAATAACAGCACTAGCCAACATAAATGGTCACAAGTCACAAGAAATTGTTACTAGATACTATAGATATCAGTAATTAAAAACAGAAATGTTTTTTTTTATAGAAACTGTATATATTCTAGAAAATTAATTTATAAAAAACTGCAATCTTTTTTAATTTCGGTTTATTTATTCGTATTTGTATTTATTCGATCATGTACGTTTCTATGATTGAGAAAATTGAAGATGCACGCATAATTACTTTTCAATTCTTATTTAGAATCTTTGCAGTGTTTGTGTTCTATTCCGAGCCGCATATGCTGCCTTAATCTAATCATTTAATTTTTTTGGAATATAAATTTCTTATTTTAAGAGTCTGAACTTCAAGAAGAATTATTTAACACTACTACACATATGTATGTACATATGGCACTAATATCAATAATGATACTGCAATTTGTTTGCAATATTTGTAAAATTGCTTAAAAACTGGTTGCGTTAAGAATTGAACTCTTGACCCCAACCTATTAGTATGAAAAAGTACAATAAATAATTTTGTATAAAGGCCCCGAAGAAACACTATTTATGGATCATTTATATTTATAAATTTATGATGATGATGATGATCTAAAACAATTTCTTGCTGCCGAGTGTATATTTTCATTTAGTTCGATTTGGATAGTTGTTCACTTACACATATGGATGTGGATTGGGTATGTCATCGCTTTGGTCCTCCCAGACGGGTGCTGGCTCACGATATGGCGGGCGGACAGCAGGCGTAGTGCGAGGTGTGGGCGGCACAATGGGTCCCTTGTTGGTGCCCCAATCGACTCGTATCGCTTGGCTTTCTGTAATGCTGGCAGCGAGGCAGGTGACTAGCAACAGGCAAATGTCGTGCGATTGCTTTAAGACAAAAGAGAAAGACAGTGTGTGAGTATGTGTGTGTGTGTGGGGGGAAAAGGGAGTGAAATGCAAAGCAAGTTCGTTGCTTAAGTCTTTTGTTTGCTGCAGTTTGTGAAAATTTATTGGCCTGCTCCGTGCGCTTTGTCATGTTTTGCAAATTGTAACACACCCTCTCTTTCAATGTTTGGCAAATCGAATGCATTGTTAATGCCTTCAAAGGCACCCGCCCTCTCAAAATGTATTTATTAACGTTCTCTGCCACAGATATACTTTATGTATCTCAATTGGTTAAGTTCAAGTTTGTTTGTTGCTCTTGTTTGGCAGCAAACAAACACACATTCCCATTCAATAAGACTTGCTTCACCTTAAACGACTTTGCATTTATTTTTATTTTGTTTTATTTTATTTACTTGACACTTTTGTAATAATTTAATGAGTACAAGCAATTTAAAGCGCTTTATTTAGTGTTTGTTGTTGCCAATTCAATTAACTGGGCAAACATTTTTGGTACGCATTTTTGAGTTTTTCTGATTCCAATCTGAACTTGAACTCGTTTGTTGCACGTGCTTGCCTGCCTCTGTATTTGCGCCCGCCTCTGCCAATAGAAGCAATTAAAAAATAATAATGTAATTATTAATTCTCTCGTCTTTAACACAACAACAATGTCAAGTTTATGCCGCACTAATTGTCGTCCGCTTTGTTGTTGTCATGTCAATGCGCACTAATGTGAAAACGAATTTTCTCGCAACACTGACATCATTTGAAAAATGTATGTCCACATACATACTTGTATATCTGATGCATTCAGCTTCATCTATAGATCCATAGAGTGACGTTGAATGTAAAATTTTGTGAATATAGCAAGTCATCACCTTGCATTTCACAGCTGTTTGCTTTACTCGTATATAAAGCACACTATAAATATTTATATGGAATTGCGCGACATGTATTCACAATATTTGCTGGCTTTGTTTAATTAGTGTGTTAATTAATGGATTCTTTATATATGCGAGCGTGTCTAGTTTAGTTAAATCAGGCCTGTTTAGCAAGGCAGAAAATTGATCATATGGCTCCGTAATAAATCGTCAGCGTTGACAGTTTATTAGTAGAAATGCACACATTGCTTGCTTCTAGGACTTTATAAATCAATGTTTGTAACTCTCACATGCTACGAGAAGACCAGAATACTTGTTCGGTTAATATAAAAATAAATATACACAGAAATGGCTGCATACGAATACATATGTAGATAGTTGGAGACAGTAATGGGTGGCTAGATTGGTAGACAGATATACTATACAGACCCAAACAAGCAAAACGGAGATCTTTATTTATACCATATATGCCTTAAATAATAAATATCGGTAATATTTAATAAGAAAAATTGAGATGAAACAAAAAAAAAAACTTGAAAACTTATGCTTGTGTTCATAGTGGTTCGAAACTATAGATGTGAGCTATTCATAAAATTTCGTAGTATAATTCTTCAGAAACCCGATTTCATCAGAAATTCTTTAGAAAACTGATCCGTTTTAACATTATTTCTTCGTTTCTTAATAAATATACAATTCTTTCTTTCAAATTACTTCCAATTAAATCTCTATAAGTACAAGTATTTCTTCATCTCTGAGGGGAAATAAGGCATTTATGTAAGTGGATATTACGTCTTAGAATCCAATCCATTATCAAGATCAAAACATATATATTCAAAATACACTCATTTGCAATTGCTGCAAGAAAACATTATATAAGAAAATGTTGGGGATTTATGATAAAAGCATTTGGCAAGCTATCTATTACACTCTATTAGTTCATACATGACGTAGGATTGGTTAGTTGAACATGGAATTGAAAACATACCAACTAGTTGTTGATATATATAGCTAAAAGACAAGCCAAATTCAACTTTATACACTGAGGACTACTGAAGTAAGTAACATTTGACTAAAAAAATATGTTTGTTATGTCTGCCGTGGTTTACATTTTGGTCCACAATCGTTTTACCTTAAAACGAAATCAATTTATGCAAGCATTGTCTCAATTGTCTGAGACTTCAACGACTTGAGGTTTTGAGCTGCAAAATCTTTTGATGGCGACTCTAGCCCCTGTTTGTCAAGACTTGTTATTAAGCAGCATGACGCCTTTAAAAATATTTGTGTAACAATGGTCAGAATAATGTACAATGTATTCAGACAGCATGAGGCGGCCGTGTGGCGAGTCTCATTTTAATTTCGACTTTGTCACTTCCGAGGCGCAGGCGCAATGGCCATGAACTTGAATTTCATTCCGTAGAAATCCCATTATTATAATAATTTTCTGTATCTGTGTACTTGCTCGCCATCGCCATCTCCATCTCATGTTGCGCCTTAATTAAAGTACACACTGAGCTGTCTAGGTTGTCGGAACGGCGCGGCGGCCAAAACACTTAATGGATAAGAATTACGCCTGAGCGCAATTTTTTGTCGTCTGTGTGAGTGTGTGTGTGTATGTTTTCTTTAACTGCCTCTCGAGCAGTTGAATGAACTTGGTAATTGAGCAAAGGCGGCATCAGTGGCACTCCTTGTTTGATTTCGTCGTAATGAGCAGGAGGAAGGAAGGTGAAACTGGGGCCGGTCTTTGTGATCAGACAGCACAAATTCTACCACACACTAATTAAAAAGAAACTGCGACGCAGAAAACAATCAATAAAAAGGCAAAAATATACTCCCAACTACATGCAACACGACAGCATTACCGGGCATTATCGTTGATTAACGCAGCTCGGTACGAAAATAATCATTCATTATCAAATGACTGGCCAAAAATCGAAAAAAAACTTAAGTGCTTAGTCAATATATTTGCGAAATTTTTGCAAACTCAATCGAAAACCGTTTAGCTGTGCATTTGGGTCAAGCTTAGATTTAATTCAGCGTGGCCAACACATTTTTTTTCTATCGATCGTAACTCTCTAGGCGGGGGCGCCACTTGGTTCAAACCGAGTCGGTAGGCCGCCCGACTGACCACAATTTTTGGAGCTGGCCATTGTTTCATTACACAACATTATCGAAAATAATATTATGCTGGGCTATTTAACGCCTGCATTTGGCGCTTTCAAATTGTAATTTGATATTAAGTGTGCCATAATCATTTTTTAAACGCCTTAATTGAAATAATTTATTTCCTATGCGGTCGTTTCGCAGATAAAAGAAAAAAGACAATGCTGCCAGCATCGAATTGTTGTAATGCATATATGGGTGGTGGCTATCGAATGCGGGCTGTCAGACATTTGGGCGTTCGGTTTCATCAAATTGCAATTTAATAATATTATATTTTTTTGAGCAGTATAAATTTGGCGAATTGCGCACCCACAGCAATGAGTGGCATTTCAAACATGCATTTATTGCAAACATTATTTTTACAAATATTTAATGCGGGCTTTTTGCTGCTTCATATGCTGATAGAAGCAATAAAGAATATTATTTTATGATGCAGAATCTACTAACTATGGATTTATAATATATAGTTTTTAAAAAGGCTCTATCTGACGCCATGTAATACACAGTAAGAAATTTTTGTTTTATTTGATCGAAAAGTGTTCGTTGATCATTTTATATTTGTATCAGCAATAAATAATTTGTAAAGTTATAAATAAATGTTCTAAATATAAAACAACAAGTATTTATATCTTTTAAAAACCCAGAAAATGAATAAAATAACATTATTAGTAAATTGGGTTTCAAATTAACGATTTTTAATGTAAAGACAAAACAAATATTATTTTATGTTTTATTAGATATGTTTCCAATTTAAACAATAATTATATTTGTGATAAGCTAGGCTTTTATTTTGTTTATTTCTATTTTTGAACCTATCATATATACATTTCTTAAAAAGATGCTTCCCCTTAAAGTTTTTTGTACAAATATCTGAATTTTATGATTTCAATAAATTTGTTTAATCAGTGTGAATAATTTGTTGATTACAGCCCGAGCTTTGTTTTAATTTGAAAATCTTGAATGTATAGTTGCTATTATTGTCATTATTCCAGAGTCAAGCTAAATGTTTCCTCAAAAAATTATATATTTACAACAATTGCTCCAGTTTTTAAATCGTCCACGTTGCAAGTTTTGAAATAACTGTTTTGAAAAAAGTAATTTTCTTCAGCTCTTGTCGATATTGCCGCTGTCAGCATCATCAGCAGAACAACAACTCTTAAAGTGCAATTCTATGTACATCTGTATAGTATATACGAGTACTCCTACATACATATCGACAATGAGATACCTTCTTTACGAGTATTTTTGTATGTAATTGCAAACAAGTGTGCGCACTCAGATACATACATACAGCTTCAAGGTTGTACAGCAATTCACAAAGAAGCTTAAATTATTGCTACTTGTTGCTTTGTGGTTGCTATTGTTGCCGTTTTTGTTTTGTTGCACAAATCGAACACAAAAGCAAAAACCAGCTGACGAGGAAGCCGCTAAAATGTGAACAAGAATGTGCAAGCGAACTGAATTTGAAGTCGGAATCGCCCAAAGGCGACGACGTAATAGCAAACATTTCAAATGAATGCATATTTATGTATGTATTAGCGAGTTGGTTGGGGGAGGCGTCTAAAGAGTAGAGTGTGTGCCGAAAATAAAGCGCGTATTTAGCAAAACACGTTTGCGCTCAGTGCGCCTTCAAATTGCCCAGCATTAAGACAAATGAGTGCAAGCGAAAAAAAAACGATAACAACAACCACATAAACTACAACAACTAACCACAAAACACTGAGCGATAAAAAGGCATGTCAAAATTTAACGCCAACTTAAGTTACGCATACGTGCCGTTGGCCTGACAGCCAGCCATGCAGTCCGGGAGGCAGACAGGCTGGGTGAGGAGTCGATACAGACCGCAGAGCAAGTTGGCTTAATGTGCTGCCGGTGACGTATGTCGTGAAGGCCAACTCTATAATTGATGACTGACTGCAATATTAGCGACAATTGGCCAAGCCTTGAACTTCTGCGCATACAGCT